CCCAAGAGTCAGCTTTCCCGTTATGTCGAGCAATACGCCTGCAGCTCCAGTCCTTGGTGTCTACACTTCACAACTTTTGACGCACAATCGAGCATGCTCTTTCTACGAAGATTTCAAAGAGCGTCATACAACTCTTGCTAAGAAGTTGTTTGATCAAGGTTACATATTCAAGGCCTCAGTAAAGCTTTCAAAACGTTTTAGGGTAGACTTGTGGAGGACATGGCCAAATATGACGCATCAGTGATGAAAGAAATTATGTCCAATGCAATTCCCTATTTTGACCATTTGTTCCCTCTTTTAACGTTTTGTTGGTATGACGTCGCCGGGGATAGAACCACCGACCTTCCGCTCTCCGGATAGAGGCTCTATTCCTCTGGAATTTCAAGGGAAAATTTTTGGGGCATATTTTAAATTTGCAAATTAAGATTTTTTTTAATCATTCCTTCATATGTTTCTAGGTATGCCCCGAGTGCGAAATCGGCAATGCCGGAAGCGCTCGTTAAATCTACAACATCATCATCATCCACTGGACCACGGAGGCGGTCTGTAGTAGTGGTAGGGAAGCGATGTTTTTTATCCACCAAAAACATGTCCCCCCCACGGGCCTTTTAAACTTAACAAACATGTTTCTGCTACTTGATCTTAAAAGCAACATGTATTCATTTATTTATGTCAAACTGATATACATTTTTTGTGCGGACTCAGTTCAAAATAAACTAGTCATCGTCATAAAATATGCTTATTGGGTAAATCCTTGAAAAAGCGCAGTGTGTTTAATTATTTCGGACGGTCCATAAACCCGGCGTTCATTCAAGCCGAGCGTCAATATTTTTTTAACAGGGAGGCGTTTTCATCAAGATTTTTTTCAATTTTGTTTCAAATGTCTTTTGATGATTTTCACAGATCCAAAGGTAATTTAGGGTGCATTATTTGACATGACCTAACCTACTTTATACTTAATGTTTGAAAGCGGCAAGTGCCTTCCTCTCTTGATGCGTGTTTTTTTAGGGTAATATTGAGAAGCGTTGCCAAATTCGTTGCTGTTGCAATTGTCGATGGGAAATGTGATAACGTGTACGACGCCTAGCCCCGACGTCATTGTCTGCCACGTTGCTATCTCTGTCTGTAGTATAACTATCTTTGTTTTTCAATGAATAAATGATGAGAAAGAAGCTGAATGTGTTTAGTTTGACTCACGGTGATGTTGGCTCGTCTGTTGATGTTCCATATATAATCCGGCAAGAATATGATACACGATTTAGCCCGATTGCTTTGGGTGATTGAGAGTGTTTGGTTTAACGCCGATTTTAACAGTATTCCAGTTATATCAAGGGACGCAACTCTGCACGGCGAATAGCGGCGCCTTGGACGACTGGGCCACCGTGCACCCCTATTGTTTTGGGCAATAACCAAATAAAAGACAAAATAAGAATTTCGGCTTGTGAATAGGAGTATACAAGAAATTATATTCACGGAATATGACATAACTGCCTCAGAACTATCTTAACGCATCCTCCAATTGTTGAACGAGGTTAATGTGCATATCTACAAATGTCCAATCCTTTTAACTGCAAAAGAAGATCCGGGGTAGAATAGGTCTTCAGCAACCCATGCGTGCCGTTAAAGGCGACTATGCTTGTCGTAAGAGGCGACTAACGGGATTGGGTGGTCAGGCTCGGTGACTTGGTTGATGCATGTCATCGTATCCCAATTGCGTGGATCGATGCTCATGATGTCAATCACTGGATTGTCTGGTCCAGACTCGATTATTTACAGACCGCCGTCGTATAGCTGGAATATTGCTGAGTGTGGCTATTTTTCCACACAGACACTCGCCGGATCATATTTCCATGCACTAACCTTAACAGATGTTGCTTTGGCTCGGATTTCATGAGGATAACATAAAGAGAGTTGTCAGATAATTGCCAGTTAACAGCCTTTGATCTAACCCTTAAATATCTGCTTAAATCTAACTTATCTTATCTTGTCATCTAACTGTTTTTGTATTTTGAACCTTTTCCCCAAATTAGTGCTGTATAGCTTCAAACATTTCACACACACCCTGCCAGTTAGATAACCAGATAAGATAAAGCTTTATTTCCCGAAAGGGAAGTCTTTTTACAGAGTGTCACAAATGTTACACAAAACACAATACACAGAGAGGTTACACGAATACTAATACACATTTAAACATTGACGTAACATGGAACATGCAATATTGAGAGCAATAATATATTTAAATGTAAACGATACAAGTGCTGAATACATTTGGTTACACCCGTCAAGATCCCGGTCAGAGGGGAAGAGACAAAAGACGCCATCGGCGAAAAACACTTTTACCAACCCTAGAAAATACTCACGTAACCAGCCAGTAATAAATAAGTAACGCTAATACTAAGTACTGAAAGACACCAGTTGGCCTCTTATGCATGTCATCGTATCCCAATTGCGTGGATCAATGTTCATGATATTAATCAATGGATTGTCTGGTCCAGATCGATTATTTACAGACCGACGTCATGTAACTGGAATATTGCTGGGTGCGATGTCAAACAAACTAACTAAACTAACTAACTAAACAATAGGTGTTGCCTCTAGCACACAGAAAAGAAATTAGGTTTTCCCCGCCTTTGCGCATGGAAGAGCTGTATGCTGCTGGTGCAATTACGGGAACAACCAGTTGTGTGTATAGTTGACGGGAGGGGAGGGGGGGTTGTGGAGAAGTGAAGATTTAGTAATAGTACGGTTGAAGCCAAAATACAGAATTTATGGCAATGATGTAATAGGGGTAGAGGATTCGTAATAAGGTTATGGTTTTGCAATGTTGTCGATTTGCCACAGAGCCCTTTTTCTCCAGTTGCTGCTGTGCCTGCTCATGCAACATTCCGTTAGCCCGAGCGAGATCCGCGGCAACAAACAAGATTTCTAGGCCGCTTCACACAACAGCTGAGTAATCTTTCACAAGTTTGGCAGGTATTGTAAAGCTGCTTCCGTTAGTTCAGTTAACGATTAAAGATTATTGCATTCATAAACCGACGTGCATGCACGTGTGTGTGTGTGTGTGTCGCTGCTTGTACTAGTCCGGACTGATGCCGGTTTTATAGTGCTAGCCCACTGAGATACCATGCCAAAGTGTACGTGAATTCCCCACTCAGTCACTGTATACTGACTCCGAACCGACCAGTCCTTGTTTTAACACCAGTAGCCGAGCGCCAGGCAGGGTAACAACAAGTCTTTTGGTATGACGCGGCTTCTGCTATCCGGGCAGACGCTCTTCAAGGAGACCACAGAGACGATCAGAGGTAACAAGTACCGACTTTTAATGTTAAGACATTTGTAAATGTCGTTGTTTGAATTATTTTTCCAATAATTGTAATATTTTACTAATACTTGTATTGGTCTTTCAAAACTACAGCTATTTTACCCCACAAAGAGGCGGGATCTGGTGGTCAGGCTGGCTGATTTGATTGATGCAAGTCTATGTATCCCAAATGCGTAGATCGAGAGGCTCATGGTGTAAATAAATCACTGAGTTGTTAAGTACACACTCGATTATTTACATACCGCCGTCATGTAGCTGGAATATTGCTCAGTGCGGCGTTAAACAACAAACAAATAAACAAGGTATGTCGAGTTTCTGCTGTGAATATATGTGCTTGAACTCTTATAGTTGCGGCATCGACATCGGTATGTACTGCCGGGTATAACACTTCGACTTGTACTGGTGGTTCATACATTATACCTACGATTCATGACTCCATAAACTATTAAAGGCTTTCAGGATATTTTACCACACTTGAGATGTGGAATATTACCGCTGGAAATTTAAAAAGGAAGGCACTTGGGATAGCAAAGAATTGACAGAATCCGTAAACTATGTAATAATGGTGAAACAGAAAATGAATTTCAATTTTTGCCTGTATTAGACTGTTACATATTAGGAAAAAGTACTTTCCTTCTAAGTATTGGAAATATCCTAATCTACATAACTTTATTCTGCTGATGGCTTCCATAAATAATGACTTAATGTTTGTCTTAGCCTTGTATATCCATACTGCGTTTAATTATAGAAAATCACAGTTTATAGTAAATGTATTAAGTGGATGTAAAATACTTGAAGTATGTTGAGTGTATGAAACGCACGTAAAATAACGACCCGCTGTCACTTGATGTCACCTGCTGTGAACATGTCAGCATCTGCTGCTACCTGCTGTCCAAGAGCATGTGCCTGGTGGATATATAGTTTGTTTGTATTTTGTTATGGGCCGGAGGCCTACATCAGTAAACTTCATTGGTTGACTTCATTAACGTATAACTAGTCATCATTGTGCTAGGACCTGAGGTGCCTTGGCAGTGGAGTCACAGCAGTTATTGGTCTGATGTTACAAATGTTACCTTCAACTGTTTTGGCACTTCAGTCTTTCTCATAACACATTTTACACCGCTATTATTTGTGAAAGTGCCAATACAGGGACATTTTCAAATTCCCCGAGAAGGATGTCAGACAGTTGATTCAGACTCTTATAAGACACTTGTTTGTTGTTAAACGCTCGCCAATACTCCAGATATATGACAGCAGTCTGAAAATAATCGATTCTGGACCAGACAATCCAGTGATTTACATCATAAGCCTTGATCTACAAAACTGAGATAAGATGACATCAAATCAACCAGGCCATCGAACAGACCACCCAAAATATTTAGTCATCAGTTGGGGACCTATCCCTACCCAGAATACCGCAGGTCCTTATGAGTTGTGAAAAAATGAAACCAGTTTTCAATTATACTATTGCAAAGGTCATGTTCTGCCAAGTGAACTATCAACTCAAAGAACACTCAATGACTTTAGCCATGATAGTGGTAGGATTGATCTGTCAAACATTTTCAGGGACCCATTGCACAAGATGTTCTTCTTAACTTTGAACACAATGCATTGACAGATGCACTGTAAAAGGCGTCTTCAACGGGGACTTGTCAGTAAACTAGGACAAACACAGATATATTTGCAAATACTTTATTTCAAAAATCTTGACATCAATTACCCGGTAATGAGGTTTATGGGTTCAGTTCATCTTGATTATTCAAATTCATCATATTCTAAAAATAAGATATGAACAGATAGCAAACAGCTACAGGGAGAATGTGTGATCATGGCCTGATGTAATACTGCTCTGGGTCTGCAACACAGTAGATCAGCCATAGCTTATTGCAATTGTTTGGCCTATGACTGGCTACAAGTAGCTCTGTGGTTCACAGCAACACAATAAGTAGAACAAGCTCCAAGGTGGCCAGCAATCTGTCAAATCATGAACAAAGTTCTGCAAAATAGCGACCAGATTGACTCTCAAGCTTATCTTACATTTTGAGACCTACTTACAAGTAACAAATTCATAAGCAGGAGCCGCTTTACAAAAATAGGATTTGTTTGAGATCTCTTTAACTGTTATCTCTAAAATATTCATAAAAAATGTAGCTTCTATGTAAAGATTTGATATATCGGCTTATCTAGAAGGCCATCTGTTTGTCAATGAAGCACTGACAGGAGGCAGGAAGATGACCACCACTTGCTTCTCATGAATCACCTCGCATAAACCAACATCTGACAACAAACAACTATTCTGAGTACACAATGGGAGATGTACAGAAGGCTTATGGACTAAATATCACACAGTTCCTGCTTTACAATCAGGTCAAACAGTATGTAATACCGGAATATTGGCTCAACACATGTTTAGCTGTATCACTCCATTACATCGGGTAAACACAGTTCACAACTACCATCCTGAATCCCCGAATACTTAGTCATTACACTCTTTGACAAAGATTAAAAATTGATGTCCTGTACGACATCAGAGGATTCTTCAATCTTGCTACTCTAAACTACTAATGAAACCAACAAACATAGGACACAAACAAGTCAATTGTCATGAATAGATCACGTCTGTTCTACCATTCAAGCACACGCCAGTATTTCGTGTCGTATCACTTCCTCAATCCACCACCAAATTATCCTCATAGAAACTGGTCAGAACAGTGCTTTTAGGATACTGTAACTTGTGTCTCAGGTTACACCAAGCATATCCATGACCTTAGTAACATTTCAGAACATTCAAATACAACTGGAAAACAACTTCTATGACAACATTGGTCAGAGTAAACAAACATGGGTGCAGTTGCTATCTTTATTGCAGGGCATTGTGTCCGGCCCAATGTTTCAGTGCATCCATTGTTGATGAGAACGCAGCACGGACATCACTCAACACTCCATCCTGGCTCGTAAGTGCCTTATTCTGGTTTCCAAGATAACGTCACTGGGAAAGCGCCGCCTCAAGGCTTCTCCCAACCTGCCATCTGATCTCTTCATTCTTAATCATATAATTCAACTTAACAGTCCCCTGAGGCAGTGACACTTTCATACCAGCTCCCTTTGGTTTAATACAAAAGAGGTATCATTACAAATGTGACACACTATTTCCTCTCCATTACATGAACTGAATTTACATTTGAAATCTGTCAGATTCCAGAGATCCCTACATCAAAATAAACATGATGGAAGTCCTTGTTCTACAATTTCTCTTACAAATTAATGTCAAGCAGAGGACATATTGAATGTCAAGGAAAAAACATATTTAATGTCAAGGAGAAAGCATACTTAATGTAACAGAGAAAACATTTATTGTCAACCTGTCCAAGTACAGCAATGTTGTATTTGCAGTTGTATTTTGTCAATTAATTGCAAACTACCTAATACCTAATTGATATTTCAATAATATCACTGCAACCCATGAGTGACTGACAAAACAAGATCAGACTGCAATATAACTTACAATTTACACTTGATACAATCTGAGCAGTTGTAAGCAGAACATAATGTCAATGCAGATACAGGGAATGACTGATTATATGTGGTTCATAAGTATCGGTTAAACCTTGCCACCATCTGCTTATAAAATACATAAGAATATATAGGATGATATTGTACAAAAGTGCAACAAAAAATCACATCTATGAATAACATTGAAATAAAACAAAGACTACAGTGACAATCGTCGCAACAATGCATTGTTATCAGCTCTGTCAACACAGTATACATGTATTCATATCAGTTTGTTTCAAAATTAATTTTCTCATAATTATTTTACTTTAAAAAAATCAAACCTTTCATCTTGGACACAGTGTATGCCCTGTTTGACACAGTGTCAAAGAATTGTATACATTTCTACTTGAGATTGAATGACAAATGATATTGTGGATAGATCTGTAACAAGCGAGCCCAGTTACTTATTGTCTACAAAGATAAGGAAACAATATATCTTCTACAAACATTCAAGTATGATCTATAGGCTACAGGTGTGCAAGAGTCCAATCTTAACAGAAAATTGCTTAAAGACAACATTTTGTCAGCTGAGATTGTCAGGACTTGCTGGACGTTCTGGCATGAACAGAAGCCACATTCAAGGAACGTCAAGTCTACGATGTTGAATATGGTGTGCTGCCTTTGTTCAGTAGTGTATTCAACACTAACATTATGTAGGGTGCAAGATGGCTGACAAAAAAAGGAACACTAGTAAGTCTGTCGCATATGCCTGTGTTTAGTATTTCCACTGTTTAGATAGTCAGTTTACATTCTGAGTGTCATGTTTCTGCAACGGTTGCTTCTAACTGGTTAGAATGTTTGTATGAAATAATTCAAGCAAAATATTCTGAAGGTGACTAACCGATGTTACTTTCATTTAATGACACAGAGTATTTTTTCAAGTAACACAAAAAGCTATTATTGCAATGAAAACACTGATGCTCACAAGAAAAGAAAAGAGTAAAGAAGTCTCATTCAGCTAACATCATGAAGAATCATTTGACATATTCACAACACATTTAGCAGAGGGATTGTCGGCAATGTTCAAAGAACATTATGATAGACAAACAGCTGCATTATCAAGATGGTAAACTTTAGCTGAGATATCCTTAACTTACTTCATTCAACCTGAAGGTCACTTGTAGAATGCTTTTATGATAATGATCATCTTCAGTAACATGAAATCATGCAGTGTGTCGGGTCAAGCTGTCGGGATGAAAGCAACATGGAGTGGACACTGACCGTCAGCTGGACAGCAGGCCGAAGATGTCCCTGGATGTCCCACTATACACACACAGGAAATACAGGCCCTGATATAGATGAACACCTTCGCTGTCTTGAGTACTCACAATATAAGAAACACACATCACTGTGCTTCAAGCAAATGTCATTTGATCACAAGCACTACATAATATCTGCTGCAGGATGTGCGGAAATGCATTCAAGAGCTCAAAGATGCTACATATGAGCTGAGTATTTGTATTCAATTCGCTCTACCAATGTAATACTTCCATAAGCAAACACCATCGCCCGACATAAATACTTGAATGAACCTCGCCAAAACAAAATGAAAACAAATGTGTGCTCCACAAGGGAGAGAACTCTCTTCAAGACAAATGTAATCTCCACAAGGGAGAGAACTCTTGAAGCTTGAAATTACAATGGCAACCCTTAATATGAAACACAACTTTGCATATTAATTTGATTTGATGGATAGCACCATTGTTGCTTCCTGAAGTGGCACTATTCAAGTAGTCATACACAAATGTGCGCACATATTGACATTTGCTTGCAGCATATTGCAGTGTTGATGGTAAAGATTATCCCACACTTGTCTTGCAGCCAGGTCAAGCCAACAGAAGAAAAGTCCAACAAGTCCATTACATCCACCAAGCACCAACCTAACTCCTGTATTTCATCAACCATTAAGATATGTAACCAGGAAATATGAAACAAACATCAGAAATACTGAACACAGATAATACGACTGATTGCTTTTGTCATACATGCACATGTGTGCATCTGGTTATCAACACCTGGGAACATGCTACTCAGTGCTGCAGCTACCGTTGAGGCAGCAACACCTGCAATTCTAGATAAGCATGATAAAAGACTTCTTCAATACATACAAGCCCAAACCAATACAACAATCAAGTCGTTCAAGTGCATAGCATGGTTGTAATGGGCATTTGTCTGTCTGTCAATACCATTGGCCGTAATCTACTTTGACTGACGGACTTCCACAGCTGCTGGCTGCAGAAAATGATAACACTGTATGCCCTGCAAGGACAAGGACAAACAAGACCGGACCTACAAGCCTCAATCTCTCTGACAAATATACATATGGAGAACTCCCCCTTCCCACCTTCCCCCTCCTCAATCTTCTTCTCTGGGTCCCTGTTTAACTCTTGGTGGGGCTGGAGGATAACACACTGCCTGTGGGTGGACTGGAGCTCATCTTAGGGGGTGATACACCAAACTTGGGGGGGCTCATGGAGTAGATGCCCCTGGGCTGGTCAGCCTCCTCCATGGACATGCTCCTGGTGCGGCAGGGGGGAGTGCCACCCTCGAAGGAGGAGGACCTCTGTCCCCGCATCATCGGTACCCCACCAGCTGAAAACACAGAGAAATCATAGCAATACATACAGACAACATGACATCCTATAAATGTCTGCAGCTAGACGATGCAGGTTATTCATAGGTCAGCACTAGCTTCAGATTGAATGAAGTCACTAATCTTACCACCAGAATTCATCTTGATTAATGCTCACCTGGAGGTCACACAGTTAATGTGGTCCAGTGAACTACTGTCTGGAAGCCACTCATGTTAACATTGTTGCGGAATAGATGAGAAACAATTTGTCTGAGACCTTGAGTTAACAACAAGAGTTGATGAATGAATCTAACTTAACAAAAATTCCAAATTCTCTCACGGAAAATAAAAGTATCTTTGTATGTAGACTATCTATGAAGAAAGTATTCCTTCCAAAAGGTTTTACGTGTCTTATTGACCATATTGACAGAATATTGACTCATCAAGGAATACATTTATGTAGGGAGGCCCTTTTCCAGGTTGATTGTACACAACTGTATATTTGGTTACAAACTAGTTTGAACAAGCAAAAAAAAAAGTAAAAACACTGCCCGCCCACACTATATTAACAGAAGTCAATGCCTGAAACCAATTCTTTTATTTTTTTTTAATCCTAATAATGGTCTACATATCGTGTTGTTTGGTGGATTCCCCCAATCCACTGAAGGTACAAATAGCCCAAGGGGACCCTCCACCCCCCACCCCCACACCAATTTTAAAAAATCCTAGAACAATCCCTGCATGAATAATGGTAAAACTATTGACACAACTACATACCAACTCCTAATCCTTGCAGGAAGTACAAGAAGCTTTCAGCAAATCTTGCAGGCTGGAATAAAGGAGAAAATGCAATAAGAATTAACAATAACCCTGCATGTCCTGACGGCATAAAGACAAAAATAATTGTGAATGTGAATTAACTAAACGTAGGACATGTGAAGGGCCCTGAAACAGAAGCCAGGCTTCGGCCAGATGGCAATCTTGTCAAGCTTAATTCCAGTTGTTCACAGATCTGTGGTTGTCGATTGACTCAAACTGTACAATGTGTGTACATCAATCTAACCTTACAACAGGCAATGTCTCAGTTCCTCACTAATTGCAGCCTCTGCAATGACCTAGAATGGAAATAGCCAGCAGACCAAAGACCACACAAGTCCTTTATTGCAACAGGTGGGATGGAAACATGTAACAGGACTATCTACTCTCCTGTTTAAAAAGGTTCTAAACACAAAAGAATGAGTAGAGTGAATGAAAAATGGCTATTGTGTGGGACTGTATGCAACACTTATAACACAGCAGCCTAAAATGAAAATTAGAGCCTAGTGTGAGTAAACCAGTGATTGAAAGTATGAGCATTAGTCATTACCATCAAAGGTTCCATGAAATAGCATACTAACATGCATGTGGTACTGGGGATCTACTCTGCTCTAGAGGAATGAAATCCTAATGCAGTGAATCCTCCTTACCCTTTCCTCCAGAACATTGGCCACTCCATCCACCTCCATCATCTCAGTGTTCTTCTTGGAGATCTGATCATTCATCTTCTCAAACAGCAGGCGCACTGGTTGGTTAGCCGATGCCTTCGACCCCGTCACCATCAGGATAGAGCACCTGGTGACAAGATGTAAAACATGGTTGATCATGAATGTGTGATTGAGTGAGTGAGTGAATGTAGTTGATGTTGCAGTTACCAATGTTGCTGAAGGTGTCCTGATTGGAAAGTTTATTATCACCACATCGACTCGACTCAAACATATCAATATTTAAATTAATATGAAAATCACCTTTGTAGACCTGTCAATCAATTTAATGCTAAATAATGACTAGGTGGACCCACTAAATGCTTAAAATTGAGTTATCTGCATTCTCATTGTCTTCTATGGTAATCTTAATAAACATAAACAATCCTGTTGCATTTTTACAATCGATATTCATAAATATTTATCAAACCAGCATCAACATTAAAAATTTACCAAACCATCAATATCACGATATACAATGAAATCCCTACATATTGCAAACTTCATCACTGTGGCCTACATATATTAGAGGTTGACTGCATGAGCACCTGAAATGAGAGACACCAGAAATGGGCTTCACACAGGGCACCTATGTGGGGAATCGAACCTGGGCAAACACTTTATCCTCTGGGCTACCCCACCACCCTGTTATCATGAACCACAGGATGTGTTACAACCAATCTTGACTTGAATGAGTTCCTGGTTCAAGCATACACTTACTTGATTTTTCCAATGTTGTCAGCAATGTTGGAACGTCTGAAATCATAAAATGCCATACATTGATTTGGATAAAACACAGCTAAAAGTTCACATAATTTTGAAGGCTTAAACTTGAAACATCCGTAAATTATTGGATGAACAAATATATATCTCAGAAAGGTAGCATTATGAACAGAATCCAGCTACATCTAAAACCATATCAAAATTCAGCAAGCACTTTTACTGAAATGCCTGGTGCAGGCTGTCATCGTCAATGAAAGCTTCCTGTGCCCTTTGCTTTCAGTGAAGATTTCAAACTGAACCCCATAACAATCTGAAGATGCTCAAAACAATGTCACATGTTGAAATGGCTAAAATCGTTGAAGTTAAAAAAAAAAAAATAGTCTTGGTTCTCAGACACCACTCGCATCATCATAAAGTTTGCCGCACGTTTCATTTTATTTCCATTTTAAACAAAACAAAATAAAACTAATATTCCTAGTCCTGCTGTATAAAATACTGTATTACAGTATTTTACTCATCAAGGAATACATTTATGTAGGGAGGCCTTTTCCCAGGAAAATTGAACACATCTGTTTATTTGGTTACAAAGTAGTTTTAAAAAAAAACAACTCCCCCCAACCCCGACCCCCTCCCCCTCAAAAAAAAAAATAGAATAAAATAAAAAACCTCTGCCTGCCCACACTATATATTCAAAAGCCATTGCCTGAGAACCAATTTTTAAACTTTTTTAAGCCTTATATATGGGAGCATATTTTTCATGTGCATTATTCGCACTTGGGCATGATAGGCACTACGGTACAGTTTTCTTTTGGTGATGCCAAATTGTGTACATTCACAGTCAAAAACTACATTGTTTCCTTTCATGTGAAGTCTTCGTGGGAGAGAGCAGGAGATTACAAACTTGGTTAGAATACAGAATACCGGATACCTACCACCATACTGATAAAGAATGTGCACAAGCTCCTTCCTTAGTAAATTATTATGTTAATGAATTGCTTTGATATTCAATTTTGAGGTTTAATAACATTAAACCATACAAATGTAAACAGTCATTTTTTCTGCTTGTTTTGCGCTTCTTCTTCGTCTCATGTTGCTATATTAGTAGGATCAAACCGAAACTGCCGATAGGTATTCTGTATTCTGTAGGTGAACCACAAGTCCAAACATCAACACAAATGTGAATTAGTGAATAAAAATTCCTAGGTATGATTTTCTTCAAGCTTTAATTGTATATCTTGTTAAGCTATGCATTATTAATATAGCAATCAATATTTTCAAGTGTATTTTTACAAAACTTAACCCAAAAATAAGAAGAAACCAAATCTGAACCAATTACTGTATCAGGAATAAAACATACTGACATCTGTTTCTTTTTGGTTTAGCTTTTATCATATCAAAAAAGGAATCCTCACTGTAGCACTTTGGTATATTAACAGTTTGTTTTTTCTTCTTTAAGTTGGAAACTTGTTGAGGAGTAACTATTTTAGATTGACGGTCATGAACAATCAGCAATAGCGAAAAGGAACCACCAAAAAGAAAGGCATGCTTCTTTGCAAATGAAAACAATATATTGACTTACATTAGTCAATAAGAACAACCATGACTATTTTAAATGAAATAATGGAAATTTAAATATATTTCTATATTCTTTGGCAACAAAGGTTTGTTTCACTGGGGTCGATAGCAGTAACCTGATTGTGGTTTGTGTTGAAAAGATCTGCCAATCATTCACACTCGACATTGACATGCTCTTATAGATGTTACTTGCCAATGGTTTTGCTTTGCTCACAAACATCAACACAGCTGTTGAAAAAATGGAATTAAAAAGACACAAATCCTAGCGTATCAATTACGCAACAAAAATTGTAAATACACTATTGAAATAAAATTTATGTGTATATTACAACTATTTAATAAAACGATTGCATATACTACAACTGTTAGATAAAATGTGTATCAGCCGATAGCAAAATTCACTTACCAACATTTACATTAGGAAGAGCTTCTGCGACAAACATACTGAGAAATGCTAATTTAAAAACACAACATGCCTAGTCAGTGTACATGTTGTATCTTAATTAGTTGCTGTTTGGTAATTAATTGGCCCCAAAAAAACAAGTCAGTATAAGTAAAAACATATACATCAATTTTTAAAAATCCAACTTCAAATATATTTTGGGATCTTAATTTTTTTTAGTAGTTCTTAAGACAAATTTTCAGCAAGTTTAAATGGAGCATTTTAAATAATTAATTCATATTGATAGCAACTATTAGCAACAGTAAGTGATACGGGTTTTTAACATTTTACATATTTCTGGTGGGCAGAATTAAAAAAAAAGACACTGGTTTTCCTAAAAATCATTTTTTTTACACATTTCATTTTTTGGAAGTCAGCAGATTTGTAATTCCAAGTTTTAAAAAAGGTCTCTCCTAATCACAAGGTTGGATAAGGAGAGTTCTTACTTCATGAAGGCCTGGACGAATCTCTTGAGGTTCTTGGCATTGATCTTTGATCGTAGAGATTGCTGGAATGACTCAATCACTTTCTCGAGCTGCTCCTTGTTTTCAGCTTTCTCAAACTGTAACACATAGCAAAACAATCCTAAAAATAATGACCACATTCAATATACTGGAAACAAATTCTGAAACACCTATCAACTGTTATCTTAAAAATGTGTCTGTGAATTTGTACTGCCTACATGGCCTATTTATGGCTTCTTGTTGAAACTTTCCAAAAATGCCATCTCAGAGCTTATTGTACGAATCACATATGGTGCTTATGTTATAGATAATTTAAATATGATCTTACTAACCCATTTTGACAAATCAGAAATTGAGCCATGACACTAAACAAAAAATCCTCAGGAGTTTGGAAATGTGTGTTCCATGCAAAAGTTTAATATTCAAGTGTGGGTCAAATGAAAGTCCACTTAGTTGAAAATTTCATACAAACATGCTGGTTGATTTGCAAGAAAGGACCCTTCTGTTGGAGGATCTAAACCATGCTTGGCACAGGTGCTTGTTCTTACTTCACTGTATCTTGTGGACAACACAATTTATCAACACTCTCAAACATAATATCAAGCTTGTGCAAACTGACGCCCTCTTTAAAAAATCAACATAAATGTCATCTAACACATATTCACACATGTATATAAAAGTGAAAGATGTTTTTGTACACATTTATTAATTTCATTTGTATATTTTGTGCGCTATTTCTAACAAAGCTGTTGAACATACAGCATCTATGATTATTGTGTTACTATAGGATAAAACAATCATACGTGGAGAAAAAATACATAACAATGAGCACATCTACAGTAGGAAAGAATCACTTCACTATTTCAAACCCTGTGTACTGTGAATATATTGTACAAATAACTGTTGTGTAGTGAAAAGTAAAATCAGTGAAAATGTACAAGTTTTAATATTTGCTGAATGTAAAATTTGATTTTCCTCTTTGGTACAAGTACACAATTATTTAGTAATTTTCCACATTGAAATCCTGAAAAAAACATTGATTTGTCAGACAGAAATCCTACTTTATTTCAACATCTATCTAATATTTGAAATCCTGTGACAGCACTACAAGAAATCACTAATTATCTCTACAAGTTAGTAACACACTGTTGCACAATGTAACAATAACCAGCTAAAACTGTATCTATAATAATGACAGCTGACAGCTGTCTGGATCGCAACAGGATCAGGTCAAGGCCTACTGTACAATATAGAATTATGAAGAAAATGTGCAATATTCTACCCAGGTGATCAATTACATGCAAATATGGAATCAATATCACACATCTGTTGACAAGATTCAGAACATGATCTATACATTGATGATACTCATGTCTGGTTGTGTAGGAAGACACACAACCAGATACTTATATTTATCAGCCGTACTATTGTGGTTATCCAGATGTACAGACATGTATCTCAATCTCAAGGTAATACATACTTGCTACTGTTCCTCTCATGGTTGCAGGTTAGCCTCGCCCCAGAATATTGATTAGGCAGCCACACGTTATTAAATGTTAGGCTAACTTCAGGTTAATGTTAGGTCAGGTTAACATTAGGTAAGCATAACTCTAATAATGTTAGTGTCAATTGATAATAATTGACATTATTTACCATCAGCATCATGCAGTTAGCTAGTTTCGGAATACAGCATGATATATCAACCAGAATATTTTAATACTTGTAGCACTAACTCCCCAAAGCCATTGTTAAGGCTGATCAATAATGATCATCTCATGTGGGCCTCTGCCCTTGTAAATCTTGGGTAAATATAAACTAGTAGAAAAATAAGGCAAAGTGTCCATGTAAGTTCTCTGTCTACTCATTTTCATTGACTAATCTTCATAGCTACATTTTTATACATCTATTGTTTCACTGTTAGGGTTGCTGTAGAATAAATTATCAAAATTTCACATTGAAACCATATCATATTATATAGAGCTGAAATAACTTTGGAAAAGACTCTTACAAAGCATTTTTGGAACAGCAAACAAATGGTGATTATTTGTTCGGCTGATGATGAGAAGACAGAGTTACTTGGACACCTTTCTGACATAAACTGAGTGAGAGTAAGTAAAAGTGGGTTTCTTCAAAGCTAGATGTTACCTCATCAGTCGACTAAAGCCATGAAAGAAAACATGAAAAGAAAGTGAAAGTTGATGTCAACTTTTGCATGGTGCAAGTGCTCTTTAACGGAAAACTCTTGTGAAAGACCCCATCTTCTGTAGAAACAATATCAGTGACCAAAAATAGCAATACACCTTTGCATATTAGAATAGAACATGATAGATTTCATTCTTTACATAATGATCGTATTAGAACATTAACATGAAAATGAATATTATTTATTCAAATGTATTAACTGTTTTAAAGAATGTAATAGACAACAGAGAAGCAGAGAAGTATGACGTGACTGTGATGACGCCTCTTAGTTGTGTGACAGTGAAACGTGATTGTGTACTAAGGACACATGTACAGACTACAGGGACCTCTGTGGTCTAGTGGATGGAGTGTCAGGTCAGTGGTTCAGTCCCCAGCTGCATCATACCAAAAGATGCTAAAAGTTGGTACTTGTTGTTACCCTGCCTGGCGCTCAGCATTGAGGGGATAACACAAGGACTGGTCGGCTTCGAGTCAGTATATTGTGTCTGTGTTGGGCATCCATGTTAAAACTGTGGCATGGTATCCCAGTGGGCTAGCACTGTATAACTGGCATTAGTCCGGACTAGTATGCACATACATGCATGCAACCACTACAATTATCTTGAATGCAACGCTAAACCCGACCCCACCCCACCCCTTCCTACCCCACCTAGGACAATGTTAAATATTTCATCTTCATTGGCCCTTATTCAAGCTATTGGGCTTTCCATTATCCATATTTGGAGACCCAAGCATTAGTTCATTACTGTCAACAACAGTCATCATACACTATCAATCAGAATAATGCACATGAAGGACACACAGTAACACAATGGCATAAATAATACAATATAAGAAGACAAAGCAAAGAACAGACATGAACAATACATACTGAGTGACAATTTCTCCCACTGTTATCAAATATCATTATAATCCATACAGAAAAGGACATTATCATCTACAGTAGTTTTCCAATGGGCAAAAACCATTTAAATTCCATGTACGGGTATGTAATTTTCCACTTCCAAATCATAGATCTTCTTGCCATGTCATTATCTTAACATGCATAAATTCATTCAATCAAATTAATAAAATGTATGTTTTTAATTCACATTTACAGCTTAGAAAGCCCTGATATCGTTTACAGTGGAGAAATGTCAGTCAGTCAACAAAAATGCAAATAGAAATGACACACAACAAAATAAATATTTAAGCAAATCAACTGTAAATACATTATGAATAACCACATAACATTAATGCAATGAGTCATGACCAAAACATGCCCAACTTTCCAAAAGCATTTTAGAATGCAAAATGTCATATTGTTTTATACAAAGAAATTATTTAGAAGGGTTGATCTAATAAGCAACAATCCATGCATTGTTATTAGGCTATGCTTTGTTCTCCATTCGAAATGCAAACAACAATTCATACTGTTTTGTAAAAGAGGTTTCTGTAATCACTTTATACTGATTTTCTCCTAATTCTTCCTGCTGACAGTAGCTGTGTTAGCTGTGCATGCACGAGGGCAGCTTTAGAAATTCATTTCTTTTACTAAGTTTTAGAACAGTACAGAGTCCTCAGAGTTTGTTGCTAGCCCTGCTTAAGGAAGACAAAAATATTCACACAGTTTACATTTTCTGCTACTTTTGTTTAGTTCCAATTTGTAGCAAACTTAAAGCATTGAGAACTGGTTCAGAACTACAGCCCTCAAATGCCACTAGTCAATGAGGACTACCATCAATGGATTTTTACTTGTCCTCAGCACAATTTAGTTGTCTCGGGCTAGTTGACTAGCAAGAATTTCAAAGGCAGTGAGTGAGTGATGATGGTTTTATGCAGTTTCTACAATAATCCAGCATCATGGCAGACACTAAAAGTGGACTTCAGTTATAGACCATGTGGGGACTCAAACCTGGGTCTTTGAAGCGTTTAGTGACCAGTAGCCTACATCACCACTCTTATAAGGACCCGATGATCCATCCCCGTCTGTACTTGGTCAAGTGAAAGAAGCAGCTTCTGGGATACAATTGGGCAAGATGTCTTTCACCTGTCTGTAGTGGGTCTGGGCAAAGCAGACAGGGTGACAGGACACATGTACTTGGTTCTGTTTAAATGTTTACTACTACCACTAGGATAGGTGCAGAGTTGCCTCCATTAGATATGCTGGAATCCTATGATTATGGGTTCAAATCCCTGATCAATTATGCCTTGCCACAAAATAGTTATGATCACTGGTTTCATCAAAGTGGTAAACGTCAAAGATCTGCATCACTACAGACTTTTCTACCACATTAGCTGACACGCTGTGATATCACAGAAATACTTCTCGGTGGCATTAATCCCAACACACTCATTCACTCCACACTGTAACCTCTGTAACACTTTGAAAACCACTTGAATGAAGGCTAACAAATGAGAATGAACACAAATGAAACATAACGATGCACCTTAATGTTATATTCCTGAAACACAATACAAATACACACAATATATACATTAAAAGAACCGAAAACACTCAGAGCAAATAACATCCATCCCATCACACCCACACATCCATGGATGAGCACCATATTGGCAACACACCTGTGATATGCTTATGACAACTTGACACATGTGATGCTATCAAGGTGTGCCCTAATCCCGAAGAGAATTTTTACACACCTAATATTCTAAAAGTATAAAATATCTCTGAAAAAATGGTAACCATGGTAACTGTTTCAGAAAACATGTCATTTGACCTACTGGGGAAATGGTATTTCTGAAGCTTTTTATAACACCTGCCAAGCATAATTGTAATAAAATACAACTAATGAATCACCAACAAGGAAAATATTACAATTGTAAGGTGCAATCTCCTCTTATGCTAAGGTTTCATTTAGGTTAATGGATAATTATTTTTTTAATTTCTTTTTCCAAATGCCTATATAATCTGGCAGTGAGAAAACTAAACATTAAACCTTGACAATCTTTTGTAAATAGATGTACTTAATTCACACATCACTGATTAAATCCATCTTATCAATTCAATCTCAGATAAGGTTCTGAACCGTGAAGGTCTGGGTTAAAATAGGTCTTCAGCAACCCATGCTTGTCATAAGAGCAACAATGCTAGTCATAAGAGACCACTAACGGGATCGATGGTCAGACTCGCTGACTTGGTTGAAGCATGTCATCGTATCCCAACTGCATAGATTGATCCTCATTATAGCAATCACTGGATTGTCTGGTCCAGACTTGATTATGTACAGACTGCCATCATATAACAAGAATATAGTGTGTCATTAAACAACGACCAACCAAACAAACATACAGATAGGTTTCTTTGAAGTATCTCCAGATTCTTCATCTTGAATGGAAGTTTCTAAAAGTTGCTTCTACCACTGTCTCATGCCTGCTCATCCCACCCCTAATGCCCATCCCTCGAACACCTTCCACACACAAAATGATGCACAAGTCAATACACAAGAATGTTGAAGGTAAGTAGTATTAGCAACATGCCAGTTACTCACTGAGCCAAATCTGTGGAACACCAGGTAAGCTTCCGCTGATGGGTTCATTCCAATCTGGTCAAGTTTCCACGTCCTAACCTGTGGACACATAAACACAAGATTTGCATTAATGTGGATGTAAAAACCTTCTAGCGCCTCAAGGCAGCTTGGGTTGTATACTCCCCATGGAGTTAACTTGAATGCAAATGGATCCACTGGTCGGGGAACAAATAAACTGCACTTGAGCAGATACTAGTACCTGGATACCTGCGTTATATAAATTATTAATAATAATAATAATATTTGTAAAGTAATGTAAATTGTGAAACAAGTCTTGTATGGAGAATGCAAAATGTCATCAACACAATCTTATCAGTGTCAAACTTAATTAAGATACTAAACCTAAGAGCTAATCTAAATTGGACATCATTCAGGGTTCTTTTTTTTAATAGTTTCGTGTTTACCTGACCTTGTTAACCTGTGGCTCATAAATTACAATACTCAATTATTTTATCAAATTATTGTTTGCCTTTACTTATCAACAACATACATTATGTCTAATTCTCTTTGCTGGCGGATTTTATTGTGGATTCTATCAAATAATTAAAAACAAAAAATTCCAATTACAACCTGTTATCTTTTAATTTGCCAGACCTCCACTTCTGTGGGCATAATGGTCCACAGTTGTCAGAATCTCAGGGACAGTATAGAGTTACCTCCCTTACATAACTAACCGAATAATGCAGTCTCCTATTTGGAATCCTAAGAGCTCCTATTGAGTTAGCTAGATAGCCCTGAGGTTGACATTTGTGAACGATGAATGGTTCCATTGAGAAGTGCTTCAAGTGGCATAGAGATGTGTCCCTGATGTCAATTGCCATCATTGACGATATATCTTCATGCAAACACCACTGTTTAACACAGGGACACATTTCAATCGAAATAAATTCTATCCAATCTTTCTTGTTATCCGATGAAAGCTTTGACCTGATCTACCGGTAGACATGAAGTTGAGGAAGACAAATATTTACAAATCAAAAGGAAACATGGTGATAGCTAATAATATTGTCTTATTTCTGACTCATGAAAGCCACTTGGTGATCATTCCAATTAATGTGCTTTGCATACTGTATCCATCAGAGATAGAAATAAACATGAATTCAACATTGTATTTGATCTCATAATAGAGCATTATCTTCTTGTTCTCATGAAGAGGGTTAGACAGTTTTCAACACACTCAAACAACAACAGGAGGCACAGAGCACGTAGCCTTGTTGTCTAAGGCAACACTGTTCCTTGGGCAGAGTTGCATCTTTTAGAAGAAAGAAATTTTAAATTTTGTGTTGTTGTTTGGAAATAAAATGGAAATAAAAATGTAACATGCGGCGAACTTTATGATGATGCAGGCAATGCCTGAGACCCAAGACTGTTAATTTTTTTATGCCTAAATGCCAGATATTTTACGATATTACAGAAATACTGTTCACAGCAGCGTTCAGCCCAACTCAGTTGCCCAAGAATAAAGGTAGCAGGGTGTGAAGCTTCAGGAACAGTTACATACCTTGTCCTTGACTGCCTCCATAAAGTTCGCTGTAGACCCGGTACAGTGGATCAGACACACGCCAAGCACACGTTTAGGTTGGGCCATCTGTACAAAGGAAGGTTTTCAAATAAAGTACTGCTTCTTGCAACAATTATGTCACTGAAACATCACATATAAATGGAAACTAAACACTTTTATCCAAATATGGCAATAGCATATTGTTTCAGTTTTTATTTCATAACATCTTAACTAATCTATCAAATATTAGCATACATAGAAACTTTATGATAAGGCGCTAAAAGTTTAGTTTGTTTGTTTGTTTTGTTTAATGCCGCACTCTGCAATATCCCAGCTATATGACGGCAGTCTGTAAATAATCAAGTCTGGACCAGACAATCCAGTGATTGACGTCATGAGTATCAATCCTTTTACAGCAAGCATGGGTTGCTGAAGATCTATTCTACCCCTGATCTTCACAGGTCAGGTGCTGAAAGTACTAAATCAATAAGGACAATGCATGTGGAGGGTTGGCATTCCAAAATATTGTAATAAACTGTCAAATATCTAGCACATATAGACACTTAATGATTAGGGTGCTAAATGTACTATTAAATGAATGTTGAAACTAACAGCAAGAAATCTTTGTCTATTTAATCTGTTTACCTAAAACAGGACACAAGTCATTTAGGAATTAGGTGCAAAATCAAATAATAAATTACAAATGATTCTGGGCATGTCAGTGGCTAACTCAAGGTTTTTTTGCGTTTATGTATCCATAAACTGAAAAAAGTTAGGTCCACCCACAGAGGGTCTTCTGTTTTCTGATTGGCTTATAATAGAATTGGCACGGCATGTGTTGCATTATTGTGCCGAACGATATCCCCGATTTTGTAATGTTGTCTCCAGTTTTGTGTTAATGATTTAATAAGCAGCCTGTGAAGTTATTATTGTGGATGTGTTTATTCATAAAATTTGACTTTAATGTTTTTGCTTTAATTGAGGTATAAATGTGAGACCCAATACAGGGACTGACACAGTATTCACAGTTTTTACCTTTATACCTCCATACACAACAAAATATTGAAGTCAATTCTTAAACATCAAATGTTTATGCTATATGGTTCGTGGTTGATTGTCTATTAGTCTCAGAATATTTGTCAAATTGATAGCTTCAGGATTTAAGAAATGGTATGCTAAACTGATCTAACACAATACATACATTGTTCTCAAATCTGCATATCCAAGTATGTCTTATATTCTTAACAATAAAAGACCCAGAGTATGCAAACGGAAGCCAAAAAATAATAAAAGACCCAGAGTATGCAAACGGAAGCCAAACTTGACATTATTATTTTCCAAAACAACAAATGAGCAGGTAATACTATCAGGCATTTGACATTCTCCTACCGCAAATCTGGCGATGATGTTAGCTCCTGCACCTTCCCCAAGGCCAATCACCTGCTTCACACTGAAAAACATACACACATATAATGAAGGAACTGTATCATCAAGAGCTCCTTATCAGACTGCGCCAGAAGTTATTATTCGCCAGTTGAGACAATGTATAAATAAAATCTGACATAAGTGAGAGTCCTGCTACTTGTCTGGCATCTACATCTATCTTGATTCATAACTGCATGGGCAGAGGTGTCATGGCCATAACAATATTAAAGCTTAGGAACCGGCAATAACCCTAAAGATTCAATATCTCGATCATAACATCCTGATACAAGATTAGGATTGTTTTGAATTTACCATATTCTATAATCATCACCGATTGGGCTGATCTGATCATTGATTCAAGGTCTCAGTTTAAGAAGCCGAGTAGTTTGCAAGGTGACGTACAAAATGTAAAGCATTATGATCAGAAGGTTACAGACAAATATATGCACTAGATGTAAACTCTACTTCCTGTGATCGGAAATTTCGGAAAATAGAAAAAGTAATTACTTCATCCTATCTCAGATTGTGACTAGAAGAGGCTATCCCGACATGTGGTCTGTAAGTCATGCAATGTGTTCCATCCATACTAAATAATACAGCCCCGGACCAACTGGAGTTTCTACAGTACGATTCCTTAACATGCAACTTATTCATTACCCCGTTATTCCTCCCACTGTGATTTCCTCCAAGACATTAAATCAATTACACTCGATATTTCTACTTCTACAACTGACATTGCACCCTCCCCAAATTTTACTCAGTGATGAAATCTGTTGAGTTCTCTCAATCTAAATGTTTACAAATTGCAAGTACAAACATGATGATGAGTTCAGCTAGCTATCCATATGTATTGAGCTAGAACATCGCAAGTGAACTGGTGTTCAGATAAGGATTTTGCGTGTCACTTCCAATAAAGTTACAGATTAATGACCTCCTAAAATGAGAAATTAAGTCTGTTTAATTTATCAGTTGACTCAATTATTCATTAGAATACAGAAGTTAGATCTGTACAAACTGTGGGTTAGGTATTGAGAAAATGTATGAGGATATATTAGAGTCAGCCAGATTGGGTCAAATCCAGGGATGAGAATGGATATTTTCCTTTTCAGCTGAAAATTCTGGGTGTTTATGGGGGATGTTTATCAAAGTTGTGGTCACTAAAATTCGCTGCAATTCACTGATCCGCAGAAGGCTCTCACCCCTGCAAATCTTAGCTCCATATATAACCACTAAGGTCTATAAGGTTTCCAAAGCCTTAATTCATATTACATGTTACTCATAAAAAAGTTAATACTGCTGCCAAGGATTTACGAAACTGACATGTAAATGAAATGAAGGCTATTATTCAACTTGTTCAGATGCATTTGATATGAAAGCACACCTTAGGGCTTATTGTACTTTTCTTATTAGTTCTTTCCTTAGCAAATCTGTCAACAACTCTTTCTAAAAGATCAATGTTCTTACACGTTAACCTACCAGTAGTTCTAAGGAACTTCTCTCCCCATAAACAAACTAAAAGGACAAGAATCAATTGAAGGTTATTCAAACTGTCATTCTTTTTATTGATTTCATTTTTTCTAATTCTTGCTATTTTCTTCTTATCTTTCACTTGTGGATTACGAAATCAAGTTCATGTTGGATTTTTGTCTGATAATTCAAAATGTTTGAAATGCATGCTGACATTAATTCATTCCTAACTCAATGCCCTACTGACATTCATTCATTCCTAACTCAATGCCCTACTGAAACATTTTATCAAACTGTGTTTCTTGAGATACTTATCTAGGTCTGATATTTTCTAAATGAATAAAAAAGCAAACAGGATTAGTGCATATCCTAAATGACAGCTGCCACTCTTCGTTACACCTTGGACTAGTCTACCAAGTCCGATGTGCTGTAACAGGATTAAATCTGTACCCTGGCTTGTAATATCTCATTTCTACTAACATCGTTATTTATAAATCTTTTTGACAGCACAATGCAAAAATGACATTACATTACATTACATTACCTTTGAAGAATATCACACATTAGAGGGTTATCATTGGTCTACACCTGTTCTTGAAGACTAAATCCGAACCTATTATTATGGTAGCTTTACACTGAAGAGTGAGTAAGCTTTTACAGCACTTGTGGCACCATTACAGGAATAACAGAACATCACAGGCTTCATACATTATACCAATGTTTGGAAGAACTTAAAGAAGAATTTACAAGGAAACACTGCACTCCAAGATTTTTAGTGATTAGTCAGTGTCATGAAATTGAGGATGAAAATTTAAGGGGTTCTTTTTATAATTAGGGATCTCAAGATAAAGACACTAAGGGCCCCACAATTTCTAAAAGTGTTAATGATTCCCAAGGCTTACATCCACAAGACTACGGTACTAGGAAATGAGGACACAAGTACGTCTGGCCTTCACAGCTCTGATCCCACAGCGAGATATCAGCTATGCACATTGAGAAGAACATAATGAGTTGATGTGTATAATGCATGTTGTGGTGACAGGGAAACACATACTCCAACTGGTCCAGAACACACACTAGGTCCTCGCCAAGGCTCTGCATGCTGGGAAAGGTGTAGCTGAAAAAACAAAATATACACAACAAATATATGCAGATCACACTGGCCCTGCAAGTCGACGTGGCTATAAAGCATGATATCAATGCAACAAAGAGAGGCTGCTGTTGAATTAAATAAGGAAACATGGAATGTGGTGTGGAGCAAATTATTTGATAGCTGACAATGCAAAAGAAAACCGCTGTAGTATCATAGGACAACTGGTAGCAGTAATCACTATTCCAATACAAAATAGAATATACTGTAAGACACACTACCAGTTTTGTTATCATTTTTTTTACAATTTTCAACATTATTCCTCATCTGAGTAAACTGTCATGCATCATAAACTTAAACCCTACTCTGTAAATAGAACAACCTCAGAAAACTAGTAGCAGAAGACACATGATTAGACATGCAATGACAGAGGTCATTCGATTTTTTCCGATTTTGTGTTGTGCAGCTTAAATTGAAATCCTAATCTGATGTTGCTATGCGTTTATAAGTGCTTTATAAACACTTCCTTGTGAGTATTCCCAAATACGTTGTGACAATAGCTGTAACCCTATGTTTCCTCAGTTTCATAACCTGACACCTTCCTATATATGATTATGTAGAGACATGGGACTATTACTATATTATCATACAGTCAATATATTCCCATCACATCCTCTGAGAATAGAAATTAGATGTTTTTAATATCAATAACAGCCTGATGGAGTTAACATTACTAATTAATGCAACAGGAAAACATTGTTCTCCACTATCCCAAGGAGACTGACTACTGAATATCAGCATCACATTAATGTGGAACAAAAACTTTGTGTTTTACGGTTTGGAACTGATATTATTAACACTTATGTCATGAATAAAACTAATCATGCTAACTGTGATCAAATAACTCTCAAGGTGTAAAATAGCATTTTCAGTCCAACAAAGCATGAGATATTACAATGACCTTTATTATTTATTCAGTGGATATAGTGACACATGTGATGGTAGTATTGTAGTCTCTGAATAGGTCTTTATGAAAAAAAACACATACAGGATGTAAGCATGTACTTATATACCTCAAAGGCTTGATCATCAAAAGAGAAACTATCAGTTAGACTAAAACAGTGTTAAAAAAATGAAACACCCTAACAATAAGTAGATATTGGTGACATTTAAATAAATCGTCATTTAAAACCATTCAAATGACAATAATGTAAGCCATGTACTGTTAATTCCTACTTTACCATGCTTACACAATGTGAATATTGAAACGATACAAAAACACTCAAATTTCAATAATTCATAAACGATTGCTGATCATATTTCAGCCACAATTTGTCATCACATTTTAAGTTTTTTTATTGTTAGAATATTAGTATTATCATGTTTAATATATGACTACAGAATATTCATGGTTTAACTACTATCATGCACAATATATGGCTTGAAAAGACATTTAGTTTGTAACATTATAGTGAGGATTTAGATTCAAGATACATGGACAGGTCATAACTGAAGCCTCCATCCCGAGGCAGTCTGCTCTCAATTTAGGGACCGTCTCCAACCTAATACAATGCCTTCACTTTCTCAAACACCAGTAAGTGGCCAAGCTCTCCATGAGATCAATAAGAATTACATTATTATTACAGCAGTGAAAAATGTCTCCGGTGTGGGTTGTGACTTGGATGACTGAAACTCGAGTCAGGGACTTGCTCTAAACACCACTCCAATGTTTCTTACTGCAGCAGAAGTGTTTGTGCTGTAATTCCTAAAAACACCAAATTCCAGCTAATTCCAAAAATATGGTATCCATATGTTGGCATGTTCCTGGTTGATACTGGTTAGTTGATTGTGTAAGGTATGAAAGGAAAGAAATTGTCCAAACATGCTGGGCTGGTAAATCATTTGTCTGTTATACGTTACAGGAATTGCAATATGTGCAGCCGTGCCCAATTCATGAGCAGCACAACATCTTGTCAGATATGTAAGACACAATACACTTGTAAACATTATTATAACTCTGCAAGGGAGCTGTTGCAGTATTACATATGTGTTCTGTCAAAGTGGTACATTTCAAAATAGGGGAGTAAATAATGGAAAATATATTAGCAATGAGACAAAGTGCTACAAATAAGAACCTCTTTCTCTGAAGTGGTTGCATCTCTAGCCATAAAACAGTCTAAGCCCGCCATACAGCAGACAATAAAATGTAAAGGAGTATTATTATTATCAAGACATGACATACTACAACAGAGAGTGCATGGGCTGACTGTCAAATCAGGGGGAGTAACAAGGTACTAAGGAAGAGGCATTATGACAAGTCATGCCAGGAACATCGCAATATTAATCACATATATTTCTTTTTCTGTTACCATGGTTACTGCCAAGGAATACCATCAAATTATAGGCATACCTTAATGTGATAAGATGCATGTAAAATAGTACGGTGGAGCTCAGTATGAGGCCATCATGCTGCAAGGCCACAGTGAACACACATCCAACCCCATATCAGATATGGATCCAGTATCCTCACCCAAACACAAACAACACAAAGAGGGAAACAAGGAAAACAACTAGCATGAGGCAACACTCAAGACCAACAATGTAAAGGTTTATTGGGGAAAGCAACGTCAAAAAAAAAATCACTATCAAACACAATACAATATCTATGCGCTACAATCTGACATTCATACAAGTTGCTACAAATCAAAACGACTGATCAACAAAACCTGATGAAATGTTAAACAAATTTATTCAACATTTAACAGGACGGGGCTTATAGGTAAAATGAAATAAAATGAAAGATAGTGCATTCTTCACAGCTGATGCTACAGTAACAAAAATTAAAAACAGTAAGTAAGATGAACTGAGGATATGTGTTTATAGTTGACAGTAGAGCACTGCAGTAAGAAATGACCAACGGCAATCTGTCATGGAGAAATGCAAAGGTTACACATGTCAATAGAAGACGCAATACAGTCAGTCAATTGTTATTCACACGGAGAACTACGACGATACTGACGTACGTACGTACCTCACACGGAACAATATTATACATGTAAGCATTCAGGCCACAACAGGCAGACCATGTTAGGTTTTCACATCTCCATCAAACCTAATCTGATATGCTAGACTGAATGTAACAACTTTCAAAACATCACCTATTTCTGTTGCACCCTTGTTATAATGTGTTTTTGTTCTTCAAAAAGTCAATCATGTATATTTAAAAACCATGTAGCTGCTGATTTTGTTTCATATATAACTCAAGTACAGGCTGGCTTCAATATTGATTTTCACCTGAAATTTTAAACAGACCTAGAGATATTATTTAGAATTGAACTGAAAGAAAAACCTGGATATGGTCTGTCTCACAAAGAGTTATTTGCTAAACATTTTGCTCGGTCTTGTGACAAAACCTTGTTTTGTGAATGCTTCCACATACAGTTTTAAGACCAGTTGCAAATTTGTTGCCAATGCCATCATAGGCGTTGAACTGTTAGAGCATGAGGACAACACTCCAAGACAACCATATAAGAATTCATCTTTGAAATGTTCTCAACGATATTACATCCCCTAGAACTGACTTAATTTGCCTATCACAGCGCCGGTCTTCCTAAGGTTGTTTATTAGCTGTTAGTGATCAATATTTATGACAGCCAATTACAATGAATCAAACTGAAAGGATGTAAGCGACAGTTTATCTCGATAATTGATTACAGTCATGGCATACCAGATCAGTGTATGATAATAGGAACTGGACATTTAACAGGTGTACTCAATTTGTGACTAATGTCCATGATTTTGGTGCCAATTAGTGACAGCATGTTTGCTGTCCATTGATTGTGCCGAAGGCCTGGCCTGCCTAAGCCATGCAGACTTTTACATCCATGCCCATAGAAGATGACTTATATCTCACTTTATTACCAAACGCTTATTCCAGACCCTTTCTTGGGAGGGGACCTGTCAGCATGAGAATAATAGTTCTGGATATGAGCACAGTCAACATAGCATGTCACACAGAAGCGTCCACAACGTCAGAGTCTCATGTCCATTTGCAAAGAACAAAAACATTAGTTTTCTTGTATACATCATAACACAAGGAAAATATGGAGCATTGAGAGGTTTGATATTACTAACCACAAGCAAATTGTATATCTGGTTGCTTGCAGGAGAATCATGGGTTCTCACTGAGATCAGAGTTTCTTAGTTTTAATCAAATGTGATTTAATAAGTATTTTAATCATCCCATAGACTAACCCAGGAATGCAAATTGGGACCAGCTTGTTAGGCCAAGTCAGTCTTCTAATGTCAACTGTATCCTGAGGGCTAGTAGAACCTTTAGGTGTCCTAATATTTGATCAGTATTTGTTGTAAATATTTCCGTTTCCGTGGTAACCTGACCCATACTGAGCAACCCAAGCTTCAACTGCAAGAAGACCAACAATCCTGATGGCCTGTTCTCACATACAGCATCAAGTTAAGTTGGTGCACCACCTCCATAAGAAACTGATTCAGAATTGAACTGTGTTCATATTGAAAGTACAGGTTCAAGAGGCAAGCATAAGAATTCTCAGAAGCAGTGTTAGTAATTCTGGTGGCTACTTTCCTGTTGGCATTAGCATTCCTTAGAATCTAGCACAACAACAGTGTTTTGTGACCATGAAAGTGCAGTACCGGTAAATACTTATCAGTGCAAATGTGCAGACATTTTCACAATATGTGTGTCCTTTAACAAGCAATCTGACTGTATTACAATCAGCAAAACCTTCAGTATTGTCATAATATTCCTTGATGGAATCAAGACATATATCTTCTCTCCATGAGTGACATACGTTTAGAACACCAAAATCTGGCATGTGGTGTTATTTTGCAAAATCTAAATCCTTTCTAAGCATACTTCCCATTAGGTCTCACTTTTGCATTTCTCCATTGACCTTGTACAATACTTGGACCACTGAAGACGTTAGAAATGATCAAACTCAATCACCGACTACTGTCAGCCTTAGGGAAAATGAAACCTTAAATCTGTCCTCTTGGTCATGTGAACTCAACTACTGACAAATATTTTTTTTCATTTTTGTGTGTCAAAAACTCAACAATTTAAATCATAGCTGGCAATCCACAAAGCAGCAAGACTACACATAAACCACATCTACTCCCAGGGATGATTCTAGAGAGCACAGCCAAACTCATGAAATTAATGAAAACGCTCTTATTGCATCAAACATTTCAAGCACGAGAGAATAGATTTATTCCCTTGGTATTGCACTGCACAACTTTATTGGTTTGAACCTCTTTGTTGCTGGTATCAACTCTGAATGTGCCGTGATTATCTCCTCAAATTGAATAAAACTCAGATAAATTGCATTCAAACATTAACTTCACTTAATGATCACATTTGAATATGTAACATGCTGATTCATTGTCATACACTTTAGTATTTCATGCAATAGATTCCTGGAATTTTACTTTGGTAATTTACTGATTAAAAGAAATGGTTCGGCCATTGGGCAATTCTCTGAACAGATCAATGTTAAATGGTTATTTACAGTTTAATATTCAACAACCATATTGAACTTGTGTAGGAAATGAATAAATCTAATATTAAGCCAGTTGATATAAGAACAAACATAATGACATTACAGAATTCCCTTAAGGAACCAGCATCTGAAGTTGCCGAGCCTAAGATCTCAGCAGGGCTAGTGCCAATATCATTTGTCTCGGCATCAGCTGGGAGGAAGGCACACTGGGCAATGGCTTGACACAAGCCAACCGGAATTCTATACTTCTAACTCAATTTGGTCTCCACTGGGTATTCTAAGGATTAATGTCTCCTCTGTCGTTGTTCTTGATACTCTTCTTTTTCTATAAGGCACTCATCTGACTTCTGCTTTTTTATATGTCACGTGAAGATACAGACACATAAAATAGCTTCCAATTTCAGTTTCCATTGAAGGATAACTTGATTGAAATTTAATTCATTATCTAGGGTTGTATCTTGATTAATGAGGAGACCTTAGTCAACAAAATGGGGAAACATGTTGCTGAGCTTCAGATACAAGCAGTGTATGTGAATAAAATATGTAAAATAATTCACCACTACCCAATTAGTTTTGAGTTGCTTCCCGTAAAATACATGTAAAAAGTTTTTAAAAACAGTATAACAACACTCAGTGTTATTGCTAATGTATCCTCTTTCAACTTGAGTATCTGTATTAATTTACCATGTTTACAGATCTTTATTACTGATTTAATGCAGGCACCACACATGCATAAACTCTATTGCATTGAATAATGCATAAAAATGTCTCTAAGTCTAACTTATTGTTAATTAGACCTGGTTACTGCTGTTGTGAGATTATGAAACATGTTACACACATGGGGACACATGAACAGATAAAAATAAGAAGTCACCTGAATCCACATTTGAAGCAGATTTTTTTAAGAAACATATTTCCTGATTTGTGTAAAACTACCCAATAGACTGGACCCATGTACTAAAAATATATTGTTTACCCAGAGAAAGCTATAAATACAGAATGTGAATGATAATTTGTGTGTGAATAGTCAACAGAAGAAGAAATTGTCAGGAGCCCTTGTGCTGTAATGCAACTGTTCCACAGCCCACTACTTTAGCTTTGATCCAAACCCAGTCTCAATAGAAGTTGTCACATCTACAGGTCATTGACACAGATTACAACACCGCCCTAACATCAACCATAGTCTTTGGCTACAGCTGCATTTATTTGACCAGATCTCATCAGGAAGCAATAACAACAGTCACTCAGCCATGAGGGAACATTCAAGCAACGACTTTGGACAAATAATTACGTAGATCTCTTGTCCTTAGCCAACCATTAGTGTTCCGATCATACCAGCCATGGTGCCTGCTCAGCAAACACTGGCCCACAGACACAACTAACAAACTATGGCTCAAAGACGGGGGCGTACAATATCGGTAAAGCTGTCGCAAATCCAACTAAGTCCATTTTCTCAAACCCATGTCAACCAAGCCAAAACAAAAGCAACTGTAAATCTGCTCTCTTCAGAATAGTTCTACAACTAGACAATGGGTTGATCTACGGTTCCAAGCCTGTTTATGGAACTGGGGACATGACGCACTGATGGTATTGAATATCCTGTGTTAAGCTTTTATTGTTATATCAATAAATGGTGTATAATATATGATGAGAGTGGGATGTCGCTGATGGATTCCTTCCTAAACCTTCTTTACCACCCTCTGAAAGAAATGTCCTATATTTGACAAGTAATTGCTAGTCAGTCTTGACCAACTTGTCTGCTATGTTGGAGATTGAAAATTGCCAGCAACAACTGTCTGGCCATCTCTAAGACCATTTCTATCTAAGACAGCATGATTACTATCACTGATGCATTGATGAACTGTAAACCCCAATGGCAAACACCAGAGTGCATTTGATCCATTGGATCTCATTTGTAACTGTGGAAGATAGTTGGTAAACCATTGTGCTTCCTCTTTCAGTGCCCAAGAAACAGGCAATGACATGATGAACTATGGCAGGAGGTACATAGATAATCAATAACTGGAGCATCCTCCTAGTTCATAGCCTAGCAGACATGATCGTGAAGATTACACATTCACTGACACTGGCTCCACTGATGCATCAGCCAAAGGCAAAAGTCATAGTGCATGTTTGACATCTAAATATAGTGGAACTGCCAAAGGACACAAAGCTAGATCATTAAATCAAAGTGCATGTTTGATATCTATAGTGAAACATCAAAGTACCAGATCAGGCCTGACCTGACAGCAAAGCAAGATTAAAAGTCACTCAGTACTACATTTCCGATCCTTTGCAAAGGACGTAGAGTCATCCATCCCACGGACGACATCCGTACCTCTTTGGTCATCTGGTCAAGGTGTCCGATTTTGGATCTGAAGGTCCATGGTTCAAATCCCAACACAGGACTCCAAATTTGTATGGCCACTACATTGGTGCCCAACACTGGGCTGAGCCCCTTCATATCAACTTTGAGCAAAATAAGTCTCAGAACTTTACTATGCCTAATATTAACAGGAGAGTATGTAGCAGGGCATGGAGTCATCTTACAGATAACATCTGTAGCTTGTCGGATTGCTGACGGGGTTAACCTCTTTGGTGATGTGGACAAGGTGTCTGACTTGGATTAGAAGGTCCATGGTTTGAGTCCTATCATGTGACTTGGAAATTTAATGGCCTCTACCTTGGTTTAAGGGTCTTTATAATATTTTGAATTAGAGCTGCCAAGTTCTTCATTAAAAATGTCCATGCTTCATCTTCTTCAGAGGTCGAGTAAGATCAGCTAATAGAGTCCATTTAAAATCTACTAGGTCACCTAAAATGATTTTAAATGACCAGTGCTGGCTAGTAGATTCAAATGTTCAGTGCAAAATTAACATGCAAATATGATAATTGAAAGTCCATTGCTAAATCTGTAATTTTAATTATATGATGTCAAACAAATGTAACATTAATTAACTGAATCTCAACTAAAAGGCTTCAGCTATGGTACATACAAAGTCTTCTGGAACCATTAATATGATGCACATAATGAAGAAAGCCAGTCAAGCAACATGTCAAATGTAGAATCTCTTTCTTCTGACACAAATCCAATCAATCTCTCCTTGGATATAAATCCACCCACATCTCAGCAAATGTCCAACAGTAGGGTTTCCTGAGATGGTGTGTGAGACCAGAGCAGGAACTGTGTCCAACTGAACTGCATAATGGCAGTCGAGCCATTTGTCATGTACAATAACCATCAGGTAACTCTCCATCTGCCTCCACATTACTTGGCCTCCATGAGATAACCTTGTAGATTAGCCCATCAATACAAGGACCTTGATCCTTGGCATGTCTTGTTGAGAATGAAAAAGCAAACATACTTTTCCATGCGTTTGAATGTCAGGCACATAATTTCATTCCTATAAGAGCTGAAGAAAGAGTCATGGCTCTGTAGCTGTCCTATATCAGTTTATGTTCTAAGATGAATAAAGTTATTTCACAGGAAAAAGGCGAATCAATTTTTATGTGTGAAGTCTAATTAGTTAGCTAAAACATTTTCAGACGTACAATATGACACAAAAGAAATTGGCACTAGTCCAATAATCCTTGCCAAACTGTCTATTAGTTAAGGTATCCTAAGGACCAGTACAAATTTGCCCTTTCTAAGGGTTTTGCTATATGTTATCATCATAACGACTAGTGGGTTAAAACTGTTCATTTTTATCGCTGAATGACATATTACAGATCTACACAAGTCCAGCTTAATGTGTTGAATGTCTGTATTTCAAAAACATCAACCAATCTTATCACATATCACCATTTAATTCAAACCTAAATTTGAGCATTAAAGCATATTCATTTAGTCCAATACTGAACTTATCTATTTCATTGCAAAACTCTAGCCAAAAAACACAGATAACACGCTGATGTTCCTGAACATTCTTCATCAAGATCTACTCATGCCTGTTTGCATTGTCCCTTGTGGAAAACAACAAAGATACAAGAATATATCTCATTCTGATATAATGACCATATTAGATTACACTGTCTTTAACAAAGCATTACACCATCCTACAAAGGATTATGACATCAACTGAAGCATGTTTGACAATGAGAAGCAAAATACAGTGCTGCTAATGTGGCCAGAAAGAATCAAGTCATGGTTATGTATTCATACAATTTTATGCCATATATACAATGTGTAGGTCTATATGTAAAAAGAACATATACTGAAATATTGCCACTTAGCAACAATAAAAGATTTCAAGTACTGCACAAGATATCTGCATACATGATGAGGTGATGCTGAGGACATTTCTGAGTTTAACCATTTGAAGAATTTCATGTGTCTCCAAAGGTGGGAACATTCCTATTCCAATTTTATGACAAAGATTGTATTTGTATTGGCGACATTTACAATGGATGACAGACAAACAGGCCTAAACATTTTATCCAGATGTGAACTAAAAAACACTGACATTGTCCTGGAGATAAATCGGATCTAAAGATTTCAAACATATAATAAAACAATCAGGTCTATGTTTATAATTAATGTGTTTGCACTAAACACCCAATAGACTCAATTAATGGCACTATTTCAAAACACATTTCCTGTTTGGGCAGAGCTGGTCACAGCAACTGCAAAGCCAGCTCTATGGCAACTGTTGTTGCTAGGTAACATCCTCATTATGAGGAACTAGATGTCACAATAAGCACTGATCATGCTGATCATGTTGATAATTGACAAAAATGTCACAAACTGGAAGTTTCAACATGAAGGAGTCTTTTTAACTCTTGCTCCAACAGCATCAGAAATCAATAACGAAAAAAAATGATGTATTACAAAAGAATAAAACGCAAGATATCTAAACAATGAGCTGTGGTGCAGTGCAAATAGAAGCAGAACACAGCAGCTGCCAGTGTGTTTGGACTAGTCTAAAGTCTTAATGAGCTGGTTCATTGTCAGTCATTCAGTAACTAACACACATCAACGATCAACAAACGCGTTACTGACAAAAACCTCAGTAACGCAGTGGCAACACACCGATGAAGAGTAGCATTGGAGATTGTCACTAAGTGTTTAAGATCGGACACCGATAACATGAGTACATTTCAAGTGATTGCCTGCTTCATTGACTTTTTCTCCTGTTACACCACCATCAGCAGCTTGAACAGCTGACATATCACAGAATCTCATCAGGATCAACACACGTTTTATCTTGACATCTGTCACTGCTGTGACTCTAAATCCAAGGGTGTGTAAGGAGAGTGATTGGGAATCATGTGTCATCTGTCTAGGCAGCAGCAGTGTCCCCGATAACTGCTAGTCTTAAAACCCAGTCTAGTAAAATTGATGTTGGGATAGTGTACATTAACCTAAAAATAGCACATTTATTTAGAAGCAACTCTGTGAAAAGCTGTAAAAGTGTAAGTTCAAACAAATGATTGAGAAGCGTTTTGGCACAATCTCATATGGTCAACTGAATTTCAAATTTGGTTGCCCACATTTATCTAACAAGATTGGTGCTTGAACCTTCTCATTACATAATAGAACTCTTAGATTGTTTTTCTATCACAATTAGGTATATTCCTGAATTTGATTCAAGTGAAATTGTCAATTTAGCAAAATTAGTAAAACCCCATGAAATACCGTTACAAAAAACAACAGTGTTGGAAATGAATCTCCAGGTCACAAATCAAATATTTAAAAATTAGTTGTCATTGGTGTCTGTATGGTCATCAACTCCTACTGTGTGGTCATCAGTGGTCATTAAAAAAACACATCCTTCGGTTCCCAGTAGTAGAGATAGTTTTGGTTCAAACTAGGTGAAACTTCCTACAAACACAGAGATTGAGATCACAGGGGTTCAGATAAGATAAATGTTGAAACATAAATATCCAAAGGCAAGTAGGTGGAACTTTCGAAAAAGGTTGGGGTTGCAGGAAGGGGATAACTAGTGCCTTTCTAAATGTGATCATGCCATTGAACTGGACACATCCAACATTGTAGTGGAGAGAGTGGAGTGAGAACTAACATCTATAATCATCAATACTACCTTCAGTCTATGTGAGCCGTAGCATGAGTCCCCTACAAGATCAATAACAAGGACACTATCTAGTTTGGATTCTACACCATGAAGAGTAGGACAAGGAGCATCAATGGTGGGGGAGAGTGTGGGAGACAATTTAACTTACTCTGCTGGCAAATCAGGTGCCTCATCTTCTTGCCCAGGAACATCCACGTGAATAAAAGCTGCTCGCTTTGTGATCTCTTCCATTGAAGGGTGGGTCAGGAAATTGGTCCACATTGAATCTAAAGCAGCAATGTCGGTACAGACTCTAACACTGTTTGATTTCAATCAACATCCATGTTTTTTATCACTCCTCACATTCGACAAACTTTCAAGTATTTACCATTTGAGATAACTTGCCATAATTACCTCTTACACTGAGGAAATGGTTTCATTAACTATTCTTTTGAAAGTATCCAATACTGGCAAAACATGTTTATCAACACAGTCTAACGTTGGAACTCTGTGTCTGTGGGTAGAGGAATTCTAATTCAAACATATTGATCATGTCTAACATGTCTAAGTGAGATTTAATCATTTAATGTGGAGTAATCTGAACTTAAGTAAATTTGCAGTTTGTGACTGAGTGAAGTATTTGGCGTTCCTTGGCAAGGATGTCCTTATGATGGTGTTGGGGTACTCACGGTTGCATCCTAGATCATGAACAGTCAGCACGGCTGTCTGGTTGTGTTTCAAGTCTCCCTGCAAAACAAAAATCAATCAAAAATGCTTTCAACTGAAATATTCCAAGATAATAAACACATTGGACACAAAATCCATATCATGGAGTCATTGAGAGTGTGATCTTATGGCTCTTTATTGTTAAAAGCACCGGTCAGGAAATTCAACTATTCCCGAAGACAAGTCTGTTTCAACATGTTCAAAAACTTCTAAAACACACTCAGTACAACATGGTACAACTGAAGGATGGTAATTATAACTGATCTTCAAAACCCTACTAAAGGGTTCAACAAAAACTTTATTTTAATTTTCTGTGTGTAAAATATATCTCATAGTCACTTCAATGAAAACAAATATTCAACAGACATGGATTTAGAATTTCAGTTTGGTTCTCGAAACTATTACCCACTGACTGTTACAGTGAAACTGTTTAACCCTAAATGTCTTACGCTGTTACCAGATCATTACTCTACATGATGAAGTACATAACCTGTGTACAATTCACCTTTTGATATGATAATCAAACGGTTATGCAGCTAAGACATGTAGCATATTGACCAAATAATGGGATATCATTGTGACAGTGGCAAACATTAAATCAGCATTCATCAGATGCATATTGTTATGAAAATGAGAGAGACTATTCTAGCGATGTCATGATGACATAGATGACAGGCTGATGGTGTCAACAAGTTAGCAGTAAATCAGTCAATTTCTTCACACATGCATGACGTTTAGGCCCACTTTTATTTTTTTACTTGCTTTACAGATTTTTCACAATTCAGAATTTTACCTTTGTGGGTGTAATATGTTATCAGCTTCTTGGCGGGATAAATGAAATAGCAAATTATGAAATATAATTTTTTCCATTTCAACAATTTTTACATTTGGCATATCTATAAAGCAAGTACAAAAACAGTGTGGCCTTATGATCACGTGTGAGTGATCCAATGTTGTGTGACACCATAGTCAACAATAAATAATACCAGCTGTATGATGACACTTTAAATAATCAAACTTTTGATAAGAAAATTAACTATTGATGGTATATGCAACTATCTAACCTGTTGACAAAAAAAAGCCAGGTCACACATGTAATGATTTGATGCTAATATCAATGGGCATATAAAAAAAGCTGAGTGATCAGACAGTCGTGACATTAGGATTGTGCTTGACCTGCAAGCTTACCAGTCCAGTTAAGTAACACCATAATGAGACAGACGATTACGGTTTCTGGTTAGTCCAAAGAACAGGGAACACTATTGTCAAAATTTAACAATGCAGGGATATGTGTTATCATAGTATTTGAATACACAATGTTACAAGATAAGACTCTATACTTATGACCCACAACAGAGTATGATAGTTAACACTGGTTATCAAATCAACATGTTTTAATTCAAACATGAATTGAGGATTTTTTCTTGCAGGCTGTGTATGACTTGATCAAAACTGACTTATTATTTAAGGATTGAATGTGGATTTTTTTTGGTTCATTGAGGTATGAATTGAAAAAACGATGTACTGTATGAATCCTCATTTGCACCAGTCAGTCCTTATAATTAATTTTGATAATGAAAATGTGTGTTTTCTAAAAATCTACATTCAATGGGAATTGAATTCAATAACACATAACCAATTCAGCTAATCAGAATTCATGAATAACATTGAACACAACGAAAACTTAATCATTTATGCATATCATACTGTTTACACCAGCTGAAATATCATTTGTAAAGCAAAACTGTCATTGCAAATTGATCTGCTGGCCATGCATTCAACGGATCAATTATACATTGTCTAAACATAATCTGTTTTTGCAAGTTTGTTTATGAATTGAGTTCAGTTGTTTTTTGCATTTATGGAGGAATAAATGTAAAGACATATACTCTATTATCAGCCAATCAGTAAATGTCAGAACGGTAGTCCATTAGTGGCCCAGGTCTAATTTGGGGGTGGGGGTGGGGGTGGTGATGTTATGGAAACACTAGTGCAAAAATATGTACTTGGTTTGTCAAACAAATGCAACAGAATCAAAAGTTTGATCAAGATCCTGTGATTCGTGGTGGGAAATTCACAAACAATCAGATATTGTTCAGGAAGCGTCCCGTTACAGGCATTTCCAGCTGTATTCGTCCCAATTCTCCCATTCTCAATCCGAATCTGATCCGATTTGTCTCTTCTGCATGGTAGAAAACGACCAAATCTGTCCCGATTCTCCCGAATCAATCGACAAGAAACGGCAATGAACAATTCATGCCCATTCATCACGACAGCATCCCAATCCTTAGGACACTGTCCAGACAACACAGGACATTGTTACGATTTTGATCCGATACAGCAGAATCTGTCACGACATAGTCACGATTGTAATCCGACTAGACAAAATCGGCTGAGTGTCCTGAATGTTACGGGACGCACCATACTGTCGGGAGTGCTTGGCCGACTTCTCTGGACCTTTCCCGATTAGTAGCACTCTCTCTGTTACGAACATATATGACTGCATTCAGATAATGATAGGGCATTCCAGATCATTGAGGATATTAATCCGACTTTTTCACTTTTTGTGTCATAGCGCTGTCTGATCTCAAACAGGAGCCATAATGAGCACTGTGTGAACCTGGCCTTACCCATAGCAACACAAACTCAATCATACCTAAGACATATAAAGAAAGACATGTAAATGCAAGCATTAGAAGGTTCTCATGAAAAATATTTTGAGATTCTGTAAAATATGAAAGGTTGCATGGTTATCACCGGAAGAATGATATGGAAACCTAGATCTTAAGTTTACTGCAGCTAGTACTGTGCAAGGTCAAACTGCCACGGAGACCCATGCCATGAATTGCATCATATTATGTACATGTCCGTGAGAAGTTCCTGGTGTGTGTACATCAACTCAGGCAACAGGTGAAAATATCAGACGTGTTAGCAGCAACACTACCACATGCTGTTCAAAACATATGTTGCAAATAAATCAAGATATTTGACATGTTTGACACACAGACCATTGGGAGAGAGAAGAGACACAGTAATATAACACACATTATGCTTCACATCTGTGCAGTATGAAATCATATGTGTAAGAAATAACATGTTCCTGATGTTAACTGAAGACTGATGAACACATTATAGATGTCACAGATCTGGCAGAGGTTCTAAGATAGCCTATGTAATTGGTTGAATATTTAGAAAATAGCTAACATAAACTCCATAATACTCTTATTATTGTAATCACCAACATCTGGTGTAATGTCACCCTAACCTACCAAATGTGCCGAGCCACCTTTCTGCATAACATATCATTGTCATCATAGGAGACTGTTTAACATACTTGCTCGTCATTCATGCAACACTGTCTCAGTACTCAAAATTAAGAAAAGTGTCCTTGTCATGACCGTAAAATTTAAATTTACAGATCAAAGGCATCCTAAAATTCAAATATAGCAGCAAATCTCAAAGATCCCAGTACCAGCCTAATTTCCATCAGTGTTGTATAGTATTTTATATAGGAATTCTTCATGATCTTATTTCATAAAGAATATGGGTCATATTTGTTGTTTTTCCAAATCAACTTTCCTAAAATTAACTGAAAGATCTCCCAACTATGGTTAAATTTGACCTATTTCTTCCTTCCTTCCTTCCCCTTGCTATTGACCTTGAACCACTTCCTCTTCCTACAGCAGAATGTAAGCTAGAGAATTCCTTACATATTTACTACACTGTTTATACAGCATCTACCAGCCTACTGTGGCAGAATTGATTTGGAATGAAACAAGACCCCTACCCAGCCTATTTATCAGTGTTTGTATGTAGTCAGGTATAGCAAAGCTACAGCTGCTCCATATTGATATGTTTTGTACTTTTGACCCATCTGCTGTTCTTACTACACTTCACACGATCTGTTGCATATTGCTTCATGTAAAGGTCAAGGAAATATGTTAATACTCTAATTAATAAGACATTGTGATCTTTCATTTTCATTTCAAAACAATAATTAGCCATATGTTGTAGGATCAATGAACTTTCCAAATACATTTTTCTGGAGCAGATGAAGAGGCTGAAGGAAATATTTTCCAAAGACATGCTGCAATAACATAAATAAACCAGGGCTCAAATTCCTTGGCGGTACATTGAAATAACATATGGCGTACTTAAATTCCCATGAAAGGCCACAATAGACTTGTAGAGTGGTGATTTAGTATCTTGCAGACTTCTTAGTTAGGAAAGCAGATATTTTTACTGGTCTGATGTGCGTCATGGTTTTACATGTAGAATCTCTGTCAACACAGGGAGAGTGAGCATTTGTCATGTAAGTCACAAATGTAAAAAAACCAGAGAGTATATTGTAAAAAAATTATGGATGTCAACTTCTTAAATGATGAACACAATGTTTCGGAGTATATACTTACTCCTTCAACAAAATAATAAGATAACAAAGATGGAAACTTAACAAAGGAAGCCAACAGATAATTGGCATTGATAGGTGATTAGAAATGGACAAATGGAAGCCAACTTTGTTATCTTATTACTTTTGTTGTTCTTACAGGCACATATATATGTTCGCTCCCTCATAGCATTATTCACCTGATGAAGGAGCAAGTATATACTCCTAAACGTTTTGTTCCTCATACTAAAGGAGTTGACATCCATAAATTCTTTTCCTTATGTGTATTATACTTCTAAATGCAATTCAAAGACTTTTAAAACAGAGAATATAGTCAGTATGAACTACTGCTGATACTGCCATGGAATAAGAATAGAACCAAGTCTCTGTAGTTCACATGAGGAATGAAAAAAAGACATTTAAACAATCCAACATCCATATTATCCCTTTCATGACACCATTGCCTGGATCATTTAGTTTTATTAGATTCATTAAGTATGTTATGGTCAAATGTAATAATGGTAACATTAGAATAAGATCATACAAAATGCATACTGCAAACAGAGACCATAAAATACACGGCCTCTGCTGTGATTGCACACTGACACATCAATAAATGGAGGGATGAGCCAAA